TATATATATATTATTTCTTGTTCATTTACTAAGAGTTAAGGGACATAGATTTTACTAAGAGTCTAGGGCTGAACTTTTAATTCCACTCAAACGCATATTTAGAAAGGCCAGACATGCTTGTGTGATGATCAACATTTACCATAAAAGTCCAATGCTGGGCAAAGCCTTAAGTTATTCATTCCAATCTTCAGTATACATTTTGACCTCTAAGCAATACGGCCATGTTTCTTGGTCATTTATGCCAGCTTTTATTTTCTTCGTAAAACACACACGGATTGTCCATTGATATCAGCAGGGGCAAAGGCCCAATGGCCAGGGTTCCCTACTATACCTGGTTCTGGCTGGAGCTTCCACGTGCTGGAGTGGTGGTGGGAACTGATCCTGGAGCGCAGAGGGAGTCAGGCTCCCACAGGCTTCCTGCACTGTCTCATGGCAGGCAGGGTTTAGCCTGAGGACCAGAAAGGACTGTGGGAGGATTTTAAGGCAGCTGTTGAGCCTGAACTGCAGGTGACTAATATGGATTCACTTATCTCTGAAGGAGTATTTAGAAATAATCAACAAGAGGATTTGGATCCAGGATTTAGACTTTGAAAATGCCATTTCTGCACCTCCCAGATGTGAATAGTAAAACAACACTGTTGTGAAGACCACTGTGAGATAATGGTTATAAAAGCCCTTTGGAAATTGTCCAGTTCTGCATGATTGTCAAGAGGACAGAGTTAGATCAATTTGGTGGAGCAAAACGGCCTGCAATTTTCTTAATCATTTTTCAATGAAATTTACCCAGAGGTTATATTTTATTTCTCTCACTGGGGTGAGACAAAAATCTTTAAGGAAACTCTTAACCTAAAAGATGTGTGCATTTGCTCTCTGGGGTGAATGGTCCCTCCCTGAAGTCCAAACTAACCCCGCAACGGCCCCTGTCCTAACACCAAGTGTCTCTGTTTCCCATCCTCATCCTCGCCAGTCCAAGCTGTTGGACTTCTGCTGGGCATGCGGCACTCTTCAGGGTGGGGAAGCCAGATTCTCACAATGCATGGTATCTCCGCCTGAGCAGCAGTGTACCCAGGGCTGGGCTCAGAGGTACAGAGTCTGTTTCCAGACCCCCAGATAACAGAGAGCCATGACAGACGAAATCCTACACTTTGTTCCTCCCCACCCAGATGTATCTCTTTCCTGGTGCTCCCTGCTCACCTGCACACCCCAGTGGGTGCCCTTCTTTGGCAGAGGGTGGGAAGGCACCTGGTATGGAAGGCAGACGCTCTGAAGTGTGTGGCCAGTGTGCATATTGCTCCTCTGGCTGCCATTGCTGTTTCATGGTGCGCTCCTGGCTGGGCCTGGGCAGTGCTTCGGAGTCCTAACTGTGCATGGAGAAGCCACTACCGGTCCTATGTGGCTGGCACAGGAGGTGACCTGTCCGTGCCAGTCCTGGGAAGAAGGTTTGGTGTATTATTGCTCACATAGTAGAGAAGAGAGGTGAGGGCCAAAGAGGAGGAGAGAGGCTGAGAGAGCAGGGTGGTGGGTGGAACCAGCAGCCAGCTGTCCAGAGGCTGGAAGTAGGATGTGGGCAAAGCTGGTTTGAGAATAGTCTGGAGTTACCAGAGCCATCTTGCACTGTGCTATCTTTGTCTCCCTCCCCCTCCCTCTCTCCTCTCTCTCCTCCCTGTCTCACCGCCTCCTCCTCCCCTTCTCTCCTCTCCTCGTGAGCAGGCAGAGCCCACCAGCAGCCCCCACTGTGCCCGCTCTCGCTGCTCTCCTTCACTCTCTCTCCCCATGAAGGAAGAGACCACTGGAGTTTGCATGTACCCTCCAATCAAAACGAGGCTGGTAGGTATCCCAGCAGGGCGAGGGCCTGCCAGGACAGGTGTGGTGGCCAGAAGCCCAGGAGAGGTGGAGGCCAGTCGCGTGCTCAGAAACACCAGAGCTCCAAGGAGCCTGGCCAGCAGGTGCTCTCACGCCAGGATGTTCGGGGAGCTTGGGGTCCACCTGGGCCTGGTCAAACTGAGACTCAGGCTGTGGTCCACCCCTTAAGTCATAGCTCTCAAGAACCAGGAAGAGCTTGTTTTCCTAGAATTTTGATGAGCGTGGATGCTTCTCCCAGAGAGAAATACATGTTCTGGCACTCATCAGGTGTACTTTCAAGGGTTATTTCTATTGAAAGCCATTTTTTAAACTCATTCTGAACTGCTGTTTATCAACACAGTGACAAAATAGACGTGCTACCTAACGATTTCAAGGGCAGCACAACCTAGCGTGGTATTTTCATCTTTGCATGTTTCCTTCTGTTTATTCATATTCATGAATAATTTCACAAATTACTTCATAGCCATATTGTCTCCTGGTTTTCTCTTTTCACTTGATGCCATGTTGTTTCTGTGTTGTTCTTGTTGTCACCTTTGCAATGACTATTTATATTCCACCAAGTGAATGGTCCACCCTAACCCACCCTTCACTGGAGGGCACATGCTTTGTTTCCAGTTCATCACTGTTTGAGGGAACACGTGTAGCTTTTTGCACCAGGAGTTCATTTCCTCAGGCTGGACCCTTCTGGGTTACATAGTGTGACTTGGGCTTTTGTTCCCTTCTAGAGTGGTTATACCAACAGCAGTGCCATCAGAAAAAGTGCACATACTCTGCCGCAGCATGAGCAATGCAGAGTGTAGTTGTTAGGGTCTAGTTTTCTTATTTACAGCAGGTAAAAAGCTTACAGCAGGTGGTTTGAGGTTGCTAACTTTCACATTTCTCTAATAGCAAGAAGAACCTACTTTCTCTTCTACTTAAGAAGGGTCTGAAAGTTTATCTGTGCATTACGTTTCCCTCCGAGATTGGTCTCAGAACACCACACAGACCTGCTCAGCGAGGCGAGAATATATCACAAGGCTTCCTTCCAAGAGTTCTTTGAGTGTGGGACCCATTCTGGAAATTTTGAAATACTTAAAGAGATTGGAGAGATTGGTGGGAAGGGAAGAATTGGGCTGGACTTCTTGGTGTACAGTGCAAGAAGATTATTGTCCCCTGTTGGTTGAGATCTGCTCTGCCCATTCAGAAAACTTCAGTCAATTTGGGTCTTGTCTGACATGAACTCTCTTGTGCCTACTTATCCTCCCATTTGTGCAGTGTGAGAATACTCGGGTACTATCCCAGCAGCAACAAGCAAGAACTTGAGAGATACAAGGCTGCTGCCCTTGGGTGGGGTGGGCTTGGAGTCCTGGCTGCAGCCCTCTGCCTGCAGGTGGTACAGTGTGACCTGCTGGTATTCTGGCTTGAAGGAATAAGTCCTTTCAGTCCCTCACAACCTCCAGGAAACCAAGGACAGAATGACCATGGAAACCAAGGATCCTTTGGGCCACCACTACCTGATTAGGTGGGGGCACCCAGCCCCTCCCAGACCAGCTCTGTGCTCCAGTTACCCCCAACACTGTGCAATTTGGAGCACCATGCCTTCTGTTCCCAAAGCCCGTGGTGGCAGGATTCTTACATGTGTCCCTGGGTTCCCCTGAGGCTCCTTTCTGTCACCTGAGGTGTACAGAGAGTCTAACACAGGGACTAATTTCTGACTTAAGTAGCCCACGCTCATGGTACCCTACCCACTGTGATAGTCTGTTCTGGATGTGGCCTCTCCGCAGCATCTTGCCATTCTTCATAGCTATGGAGAGGCCCTGAGAAGTGACCCCAGGCAGCTCTGACTTGCCTCATTATGCACTCTGAGTTGTGGCCCTTTTCAGATCAGGCCTAGGACCCAGCATGCCCGGAAGGCCCAGGCAGACCCCAGCAAAGGGAGCCCAGGAAGGCAAGCATGCTTGTCATCCCTGCTGCGTGCTGTGCCCACACTCCAGAGGGATAAAGGCCTGCCAAGGTTCCCCTACATCCTTCAGTTCTGTTTTACGAGTGCACTGCCAAATATTTCAAAACTTTTTCTAATCTGAAGGTAACCCTCTTGTCTGTATTTTTTGTTTTGTTTTGTTTTTTGAAGATAAAAACATTCCCGGCTGATACAATGAGCCCGTTTCCTGATCCTTTTACCACTGGGCCACAGTTTACCGTAAGTAGATCCAAAAAATCTGTGTTCTAAAGCATTGTTCCAGTGTGGTGTGCTTTGCTGTGAGATGCCAGATAGCAGTGTCAACAGATTCTTTTCATCGGTTGAATTCTGTGAGGTTGGGAAGGAGCTAGGGTTTAGGGTCTGCCTAGTTCATTTTATTTTATTGGAATGAGATCCACGTAGAATTAACCATTTTATGTTTTTGTTTTTTTGTTTGTTTGTTTGTTTTTGGTACGGGGGATCGAATTCGGGTCCTTGCGCTTGCAAGGCTAACCATTTTATTTTATTTTTTCCGGTACGGGAAATTGAATTCAGGACCTTGCATTTATGAGGCAGGCACTGTGCCACTGAGCTAAATCCCTGGCCCAGAATTAACCATTTTAAACTGACAATTCAGTAGTACTCATTACATTCACAGCATTGTGCAATGACTACCTCTATCTAGTTTCAGCACATCTTTATCACCCCAGAGGAAACCTCATACCTGTTAAGCAGTCACTCCCCATTTTCCCTTTGCCCTCAGCCCCTGGCAACCACCATTCTGCACTCTGTCTCTGTGGACTTGTCTAGCCTGGATGTTTCCTGTCCATGGAACCATACAATATAGGACCTTTTATGTTGGCTTCTGTTACTTAGCATCATATTTTTGAGGATCATCTATGTCAGAGGATGTATCAGCCTTTCATTTCCTCTTTATAGTGGAATAATATTCCACTGAATGGCTACACTACACTTTATTTATCTGTTCACCAGTCGTGGGGATTTGGGTTGTTTCCACGTTTTGGCTATTATGAATAGTGCTGCATGAGCTTGTGGTTTTGGAACATGTATTTTTAACTGTTTTGCTGCAAATGGTGTGAACTTAGATAAGTCATTTTATCTGCCTCTAGTGAAAATAGTAATGGGAACATCCCCCTAGTATCCAGTTGAGAAAAGGGTCAAAAGGACCAAGAAATTGAAAGTGCTTTTGCAACCACAGGGCACCCTTCCAGTGTCAGTAATGATTGTATTTCTGCAGACTACAGAGGCAGGTGACGTGATGAACAGGAACAGGTAGTCTTGACAGCAGGCTTCTTGCTGTTACCTTTCACCATGCCATCACTGGCAATTGAAACTACAAAATATTTAAATGTGCTTATAGTGGTAGGTGTAGTTTCTTTATCTGCAGAGTGAGAGCATTTGATGATTTGCATGCTTCTTTCACATGCTCAACTCCTTCTTACCTGGAAACTTTTTCGGAAGCTCACTATATAGTGAACTGCTATGTGGCATAGAAATGGAAGACCAGGGTCCTCTTGTTCTCTCCTCCCAGGAGTCCGATTTTGCAATTCCTGAGGCTCATTATGGAGGGTTTCTGTCCTATCTGGAGAGGCTATAAGGCGCCTTCAGGATAGCCCTAAGCGCAGTGTCATGAGCAGGATGATGGTCACTGCCTGAGGTGGCTTCAACCACGTGGGCAGGGAGGGAATAAGCAGTGTCTGATTCATTTTAGAAGATGAACAGAGGTGGAAGAGTGTCCAGCAGCCCAGGCAGAGGGACAACAGTCTGTTTGCTAAGCAGTCTGTTCATAGGGTCATGAGCTGCTTTCAGCCTTTGCCTTTTAATGAGAGGGCAGAACCACCAAGGCTGTGCTGGATTGTTAAATGCCATCACCCTGACATTCATCCAGCCTTCTGCAGTTTTGCTGGACACAGCTCCCCAGCTAGAAACTCTGTTCCATCTCCCTCGGTTGGCCATTGTGAGGCACTCTGGCCTCCTGCCCAGCCTTGGCTGCACTGTGAGACACTCAGGGAAGCCCTTCCTGAAAGCTGGGGGCCAGGATGGAGCAGGAAGCCAATGTCAGAAATCATGCTGGAACCCTCAAGAACTGGGAAAGGGTGGCTTGAAGTCAGCTGAAGCAGACAGAGAGAACAGCAGGAACCAGAGTCCTAGGGTGGGAGGGGTCATCACACATTCAAGGGACTGAAAAGAAGGCCAGAGGGACTGGAGAAAGCAAGGGATGTGAGAGGAGGAGAGGAAGAAAAGGACATAGGCAGGGACAAACACTGTAGGGGAAAAACTATGCCTGGCCATGAAAACCACAGGATGGATTCTGGTCCTCATCTTAAAAGCAGCAAGAAGGCTTCAGAGGTCTTTAAGCAGGGCATTGAGAGGGCAGACATATTTGGATAGGTCTCTGTGATCACAGTGGGGCAATATTTAGATCTAGACACAGTGGATTTAGGACATTAGTCTAGATATCTAGGACAGTGGCCTAAGGGACAGAGATCACAGAGAGCTTGACCCAGAATGGTTTTGATGATATAGATGGAGAGATATGCACAGTTGGAGGAGATTTTTAGGATCCAATTTAGGAGGTTGGTAAGATACTGAGTAGATGAAGGAGAAGGAGGATTATAAATGGCTCTGATTTCTGACTTGCAGAATGTGGATGGATAGTCACTCTATTCACTGAGATAAGCAAATCTGAGAGAAAACGGGATTGGGAGAGATGAGTGTGTCTTTGACCACAAGGGAAACAAGGAGTGGGCAGTTGGACATCCTAGTCAGTAACTCAGTAGAGAGTGCTAAACAGGAGATAACGGTAACTGACAGCTGGTTGGTAGTAGAAGCCAAATTCATGGGCTTCTGCCCATTTGCTCACCCCTGCACGCTGCGGTCTTGTTTCCTTCTTACCAAGGTCAAGATGCTTGAACTTGCTGCAGGTTTGGCCTCTCTACAGGCCTCCAGCCCTGCCACAATCATGGCGAAGTTTAACAGCTCCAGAGACTGCTTCATAAAGATGTTCTGGCAGTTGATTCAGCATTTACCTCGGACCTGGTTCCCATCACCAGGCTCCTTATTTGTTCCTGAGACGAGTTCCTACTTTGTATGCAGGCCTTTTAGCTGGGTCTTTGCTGATAGTCAGCTAAGAATGTTGGCCTGTGAAGATGAGGGCACCTGTCTAGCTCTGGTCATATTTTGGTCTGATGTTATTCTTCCTGACTTGGGTCTGTCTCTCTGTTAACTGTTTTATTCCACTGAAAGTTCATTTATTCATACCCTCACTTAACTATTAAAAAGATAAGGATCAAGACTTAATAAACAATTTTATTGCTTCTTCAAGGTCACTCATAGGTGAAACTTCCTCCACTTCAAGTACATGACAGTGAAAATACAATGACTGCTAATACAGTCTGTGTTCATGCAAAGGTCCCAGCACTTTTACCCACCCACTGCTTTTGTACCATTTGTACAAATATCCCTCAACAGTGGCATCAGAAGCCTAGTCTCCACTCTTTCACCAGAGCAACAAAACAACTTCCCACCTCAATTACTGTAGCAGCCAGAATAGGCAAACCCACTTCCGCTGCGTGTCTGTCCTGGGTAGACCTGGGCCTCTGTTCTGTGTTGCCATCTTTCTGGGACCTGGGCTAATGGAGCAGCGGCCTGACATGTGGAGTGTTGTTAGTAACAATGGGAAAACAGAAAAGAGGTGACGAGTCATACACTGGTTTTTAAATCTTTCACCAGAAATGAAACATAGGACCACACAGGCCAAAGCAGGCCGTATGGTCATACCTAACTTCAGAGGGGGCAGGCGAGTGTAACCCTACCACATGCCTGGGAAGTGGTGAGGTAGAATGATCTGAGGACCAGCTCGAACGACTGCTACAGCCCAACATTTGTGAAGGCTCACTTCTCTTTTAGGGGGCCATGTAAGACACAAACAGAGATTTTTACTTCTCAGCAATAGCTTTCAAAGCTCCTACCCTCAAAGATAGGGTTTCTCCCCATGCTGAAGTCAAATGCCCTTACAGGACCAACATTGTCCACGGTGCTTTCAGTAGTCTTAATGGCCACTTATCAGGGACCGCTCAACTGCTTTTCTCCAAGACAGTAATCACCCATTTCATGAGCGAAGCCTCTTCCTGAGAAAGCCAGGTGATAACTTTCTCTGAGTTTGATGTCAAGAACTAGCATTTTAAAAATGAAGTTATAAATATATAGCTGGTATTAGCAAAAGAATATAAAAACAACACGATGTGTAGGAAAAATACTGTAAGGAAATAATAGTAAGGGATTATGGAATTTTTTTCTTCATCCACTTTTCTATATCCTCTAAGCTTTCTGTTTAAAAGTAAGGAGCAGGCTGGGGATTTAGCTTAGTGGTTCTACCACCTGCTTTGCAAGCTCAAGGTCCTGAGTTTGATCCCCGGTACCAAAAAATAAATAAATAAAAAATAAAAGTAAGGAGCATGTTTTGCTTTGAAATGAAAATGATAGCAAGAAATTCTTCTCTTCAGATGAGATGTGTGAACTAGACTGGTAATTCTGAAACCAAATCATGTGTCAGAGCCACCTCAAGGTCCATTAAAACACGTATTGTTTCTTTTTTTAATTGAGTTTATTGGTACATTCTAGGTATACAGTACAGTTACTTTATCATTGGGATCTTGTACCTTTCCATGACAGGTCTTGGTTCTCATTTTTCCCCTTGTCCCTGCCCTCCCTTCACCCTGTCCTCCCCTCCCCATTTACAAACACTTTGTTTCCATTTTATTCATTTTGTCATATTTTTTTCTTTTCCCTTATTCCCTTTCCCCTACCCTTCCCAGCTTCCCTACCTTTAGCCCTCCCTCCCCATTTACAAACACTTTGTTTCCATTTTATTCATTTTGTCATATTTTTTTCTTTTCCCTTATTCCCTTTCCCCTACCCTTCCCAGCTTCCCTACCCCTTTAGCCCTTTTCTTCCTATTTCTCATGGTCAATTATCTCATTAGGATCTTATGTGCTATTATGGCTTTTCACACCAGAGAAACTATTCAGTATTTACACGTGTGTGACTTATTAAAACATGTATTGTTGAGCTGAGCATGGTTGCTCAGTGCTTGTGATGTCAGCACTTGGGAGAGTGAGACGGGAAGATTGTGACTTTGAGCTCAGCCTGGGGATCTTAGCAAGACCTGTTGCAAAGTAAAAAAAAAATTAAACAGGTTGGGAAATATACTCAGTGTGAAGGTTCTGGGCTCAATCCCTAGTACCACACCCCCAAAAAAACCCATATTATTGGATTTCCCTAGACACTGTGGGTTACAAGACGGAAACTGAGGTTTTTTTGTTTGTTTGTTTTGATACAGGGCCTCACTAAATTGCCCAAGCTGGGCCAAACTTGTGACCTTCCTGCCTTAGCCTTTGAGTAACTGTGTTTACAGACATTTGCCACAATGCACGGCTGACCATTTGCCTTTTTACCAACTTCCAAGATAATGCTGATGCTGCTAGTGTGGAGACCATACTTTGGGTCCCCCCAAAATGGTGCTGTGTTGGTAGAAAATGACCAATCATGGAGTCAGAAAACCCTGGTTCTAAATACTGTTCTTAACACTCGACTGTGTGACCTTGGGGAGAAGACTACATTTTCTAAGCCTCACTTTCCTTTTCCATAAAATCAGTTCTAGGATACACATTTTTTTCACTTCCTAACATCTCTGTTTGAGTGCCACATTTTTCTTTCTCTGTGGCACCTGCAAAAATGATGCATCTTACAACTGATGGTGTCTAAGATGTGATGAAATATGATCTCTACCTTAAAAGGTTGTCACAAGGCAATGTATGTAAAGCGCTTAGCATAGTGTCTGGTGCAAAGCAAAATCATTTAAATGGCGATTGATTTTAGCTATTATTAAAAAATAACAGGAACTGTACAGTAAGGCTTTGAGAGCAGCTGACAGTGTGAAAATGGAACCCAAATTGAGATTGATCTCTTCTTTTCTTCTCCAGGCAGACTTTAGAGACAGTAAATTACAGTGCTGTCCTGGCCAATCTTCCCCACTGATCCCAGCGGTGACCCTGCGGCCTTTGACAGAGACCGTCTCCACAGTACAGACCATTTATACTGCCCGGAAGCCTGTTTCTCTGGCAGCCAGGTAAGATAGATCTGCAGGCAGCAGCAGGTGACTCTTGTGACAAGGCCAGTGTGCACTGACTTCAGGTTCATTATGTTTCTGACATCTGCAGTCCTTCCATTTGTCCTATAAGTATGTATGGAAACGTCTGCAAGGAATGGGCTGCCTTCTAGGTGCCAGTGAACAGAACACGAAGTCCTACCCTAACAGAGTTTATTCTTAGCACGTGGGAGGGTCTGTACGTATGTGTGTGTATTAGTGACGAATGCTAAGGAGGAAAATAAAACTGTGAAGGGCAAAAGGACCTGCTGGGGTGGCCTCATTGAGCAGGTGGTGTGTGAGCTGAGACCTGCAGGTGGTGATGGGGCAGGCTGCAGACATCTGGGCAGAGTAAACTCAGCAGATGAATGGCCAGTGCTACGGCTCTTGAGGTACAGCCTGCCTGGGAAGGTTAGGGAAGGGTGTGGGGCTTTGTGGCCAGAACAGTGACAGGACAGGAGACTATGCAGCTGCAAATCAGAGCCATACTGCATGGGGATTTGTTGGCCATAGTAGACTTCGATTTCTACACTGAGTAAGATGAGTAAATTTGGTTTGTTCCTTTAAAGGTATGTACTTTATCTAAGTTATTGTGTGAGTGTTCAAATAATAGAAACATGTTTCATAGATATGCAGCTGGCCCTGATGTCCAAGAGGTCAGAGGCAACCCCCCCAAAGAGCCCATTTTACTTCATTCAGTTTTATTCATCAAGCATAATGCACCCTTTGTTGAGACATCACCTCAGACTACTTTAAACTCTGGGAGAAGCTACATATCAAGCCAATTTAAAGAATGATTTAAAGACACCCAAGCTCTGGATGTCTTCCCACTTTTACTACGTGGCTGCAGATCCTGTGTGTCTGCTTCTGTAATTTTGGAGGGCTTGTCTCATTATTTTGTTTCTTGTTCCTTTTCAGTGCAGAGACACTCCGGCAGGAACTGGAAAGAGAGAAAATGATGAAAAGACTGTTGATGACCGAACTGTGAAAATCTCCTCTTACCGCCTGGAGGATGGTGTGGTGCCTTCTGTCCGTTTCCTTTCTTCGGGCTTTGTGTGCTCACTTTAGCACAACATACGAATGTCATGTGCTCTGTTTGCCCGGGTCTCTATGGTTGGTGGAAGCCAACTTCTGGCTTGACTATTACTAGAAAAGTTACTTCAATCTCCTGAGCATTAGAGGTTTTTTACTGCTCAGTGTAATTGAGACAAGATTTGGTAAGTCTAGGAAAAGAAAGAAGGGAAAACAGGGATTCCTGTTCAGAAGTACCTGTGTGTAACTGTAAATAGCCACAGGGGTTAATATGACATGGACTCCTTTGCTAACAATCTGAACCATGTGATTTTGTACGTTTGAAAGTTGCACCAAGCTTTGGCTGATTGTTAAGGAGTCATTTTTAATGAGAGATTAATTATTTACTGCTGGTTTTTCATTTACGCTGATATACACATGGATCTTCTAAAGTCCTTTATTTTTACTCAAACATGAGATGAGCTGGAAAAAAAACAAACAGAAAGTTACATATCACTATGACTTAAAGTACTTCAGTTTAACCGGAAATATAATTTAATGTGTGATCTTGTTGGATATGATATTATCCAAGGTAAACATAATTTATCATTGAACCCAAAATAGGAAATACCAGCTTAAATTGTTTAAAAATCCTTACAGGGTTAAGATAACTCAATATCAAAAAAATTCATTCGGGTGTTCCGTAAAGGAAAATTATTTCTAAAGTTGATTAGTTAATGTCCTATTGATAGAACCTCGACCACAAGAAACTTTGCTCTCTTTTTATATAGTTTCAAGAAGTGCATTTTTAATTTTTTATTATGCACTTAATTAACTTTGCAAGAATAAAGGAACCAACCCCCAGCCACAAGCTAGCCCTCTAAATTATTGCCCTACATTTTTCAATGAATATGCACACATTTTACAAAGCTATGATCAGTGTGCACATTCCATTTTGTTATATTCTTCACCTAACACTTATCTCCTTATCAGACATCCTACTCTCATCAATTTAAATATCTTTATTTCCATATAACCCGGTTAATATGGTTTCTCCCCATTATCAGCAATTTGAGTCATATCCAATTTTTCACTCTTATAAATAGTGCTGCTATGAATGTCTTTGTAAAAAAAAAAAAAAGTTCCTTCCTTTGGATTATTCTCTTGGGAATATCTCCAAAAGAGAGATTACAAGGTCAACGAGCATGAAGTATTTTATAGCTCTTATTTTATATTGCCAAATTGCTTTTTAGAAAGATCCAGTCTTGGGTTGGAGGACCTTACAGGTCATTGAATTTACCCTCCCCCATTCTGAATGCTTGAATCCCTTCTACAATTTATGATGCCACCAGCAATGCATAAGAATTTTTATTTACCAATAGTTCTGCCAGTATTGGGTTTTGCCATTTTTATTTATTTTTGCTAGTTTAATAGATGTGTATAGTTGTTCTTGAAAAGTTGTTTTATTTCATTAATTGCTAGCAAGCCTGAGTACCTTTCCATGTGATGATTTACTCGATGTATTTCCCCATGTGTGAACTGTCCATCTGTTTCTTATGACCACTTGATAAGTGGAATTGAGCTCATACATTTGTATCAGAACTGTGTTTTTATGTTGTATTGTATAGTTTGCTCTCCTGTCCCTATCCTTACTAATGAATGGTGCCAATAATTTGATACTAATGACTATAAAAAGTAATGCCTCATTTACTACCATTGTTGCAAATGAGGGATATAAGAAACATTCAGATAACTGAGGAGAAACCCTTTAAGTGCTGAATCTTTACAATTTTAATATTTTTTGGAGGGAAATCTTTCTAAAATGTATTATATTATATGCTTCCCAGCCTTAGTAAACCCAGTATACTGGAGAGTATTTAACTTTTTCTTGGTGAGTCATGGTCATAATCATCACCCCTTTTGTACCCTGGTATGGTGCGGTGATGGCGTCACCAGGAGCTATCAAAATGCACAGGATTTGGCTTGGCCTTTTGCAGGGTATTATGCTCTTCTCATTGCTGGTTTTTTACTACTCTGTGCTCTATCAGTGGAGCTATCCAAGGCAATTGTAACTTTGGGGGCCTTTTACCCTGGTGACCCCCCAGCTGTACTTTTAAAATGGCTTTAGCTGTTCTTTGTCTTGTGGACATGACACAAAATGTGTTCCTGCACAACATGGGGTTTTCACCTCTTGCCAATCCAGAGCCTCTTCCTTTTCTAGATTGCTTTCTGAGGCATCTACTCTTCACCTCCTGCTCTCTGATGGAAACCTGACTGAAGGTTTCCTGGGGAAGCCAGGGCACCAAATATTTCATATATGTCAGGATTGCTTTGCTTCCAAGGAGGAATGCATGAGCTTTTTGGCTGCTGTTTCCAGGAGGCTGAATCTCCTGCACCTTCCCCACCTCCCCCTGGGTTCACAGGTGTTTCTAAAGATTGATGTCACTGGAAGTCTAACTACAAACAAGTTGACTGTTATTGTATATGAAAACCCAGTACATTTGGCAGCTCACCTCCAACCAGTAAAATCAAGAGGATTCCATTGTTTCGGCGGCTTTCTTGGATATTTGCCTACTTAAGTGTATGATGGATGATGCTTGGCATTTTGACCTGAAAAGGTGAAATTGTATTGGGTGGATTCACAGTGACTGAAAGAAATTAGGCAATTGCTTCATCTTTTTGCATACTAAAACCAAAACAATAGCATGTAATGTCACACAACACATACCTTAGATTCAGGGGAAAAATCAGTTTGCTAAATAATCATTCCCGAGTTAGGGCTGGCCACAGACCCCTGGTGGGCATGGTGGGTACTGCAAGGCCTGAGAACCTTCAATCCACAGTTTATAAACTATGGACCTCACAGATCATTAGGTTTGAAGAATTTGGAAACGAAACCCTGAGCATTCAGGAAATCCCACCACGATGTATCCAGGACTTTGTATTCCCCAAATAGCACAGGAATATTCTGATATCACTGTTATCTTTCTTTCACCATCTCAAAGATTGCAGCTTTTTAAACTACTCCAATAAAATTCACCATTTGAACCATTTTAAAGTGTGTAATTCAGTGTTTTCTAGTTTATTCACACTGCTGTGCAGGCATCACCATTATCTAATTTCACTGCCACCCTCAGCCCCTAGCAGCTACTAAACTATTGTCAATGGGTTTTCTTATTCTGGACATTTCATATAAATGGAATCATACCACATGTGGTCTTCTGTGATTGGTTTCTTTCACTTAACATAACGTTTTCAAGGTTCATCCATGCTGTAGTATATACCAGAACTTTGTTCCTTTTCTTAATGGCTGAATAATATACCATTGTATGAATATATCATGTTTCATTTATCCATTCATCACTTGATAGTTACTTCGGTTTCTCCTCCTTTTTGGCTCTTATGAATAATACTGTTACGAACATTCATGGGCAAGTTTCTGTGTGAACATATGTTTTCAGTTCTCTTGGAAGTTGCCAGATCGTATGTCAACTCTACGTTTAACTTGCTGAGGAACTGCCAGGATCACAGCTTTTATTTTTTATGAAATCCAAAGTACAAAGTTATGTATACTAGTTAGTCAGAGACATGGGCACATCTGCTATTGGACAGACACTGAGATGCAGGACTAATGTGGTGAAGTCTTAATACAAGAAAAAAATATTTTTTTAAAAAAAAAGAAGAATTCTGATGAGAATAGAAAATAACAGTGCTGTCTTTCTTTTAAAAATGAAAATGATACCAAACTCTGATTTGTCTCTGACTTCTTTGAATAGCTGGCTCTTGTTGAGCCTGTAGCCTCAGAATGTTCAAGCAAAGTTCTGTGCTGGAAAGTATGCACAATTGAGAAAATCACAATAGATTTTTGCCATCCAGTGGTTCACACAAGTGGGAGCACAGGGTCTTCACAAACTTGACATATAACTAAGGAAAATGCTGAGGGTCCTTTATAATTTGTGAGTGTGTCTTTTGCTAAGGATTGAAACCCAGATCTGACAGATGTTAGTAGGCACTCTACCACTGAACTACATCCTATCCCCTGTTGAGGGTCTTTTTCAGGGTTTAAATACTGTAAGAAAACATCAAGAATAAGAAAACTCCAAGTGGGAAGGATAGGGGAAAGGAAATAAGGGAAAAGAAAAAATATGGAAAAAGGAAAAATGGAAATGAAGTCTTAGTAAATAGAGAAGGGTGAAGTGGGTGAAGGGAGGGCCAGGGGAGTGGGAAAAAATAAGAAACAAGACAAGATCACAATGTTGAATGTAACTGTATTATTTCCCTTAAATGTACCAATAAACGTAATGAAAAAAGGAAAAGAAAGAAAACTCCAAAAGATGGTTTAAATGGACCAGAGAGGCTCTCTTGAAATTGTAGGAGCAAGTTCCATAGGGAACTGAAAACCTTAGTAAGTTTTAAGGTCCGGAAGAGGCATCTAACTTTGAATGGCTTATAAATGTTATGAGTCTTCTCCTTAGAAAAATCCATACATTACATTATTCTATACTTTCACAGGGGCCTCATACCACCCTTGAGCCTATCTGTGGCCTCCTTTGAGTCCAGGGACTCCAGGTCTTTGAACATGAGTATATAATTAAAGTCCACAGATGAAATGTCATGTTATGATCTGATTGCAAACCCTCCTATGAGAGAGTGAGAGAGCCATGTACTTTTATCAGACCAATTTATCAGGAGATCAGTGACCTAGTTCTCATTTACCTTCTATTTGGGTGTCATCACTGTTAGTTGTAATAATTGAAGTGAAAAGAATAAAAAAGAAAGTGATAGGTAATAGCTTCAATTCCCAAATGTGTCAGTCAACACTGAAGTCAGCAGAAGCCTGATACTTCCTTTTTCTTTTAGCTAAATATTGGTCCATTTAAAACTGACCATATATTCCCTAGTGAAGAGCAAAAGAAAAAAATAAAAGAATTTGAGGTTTCATTTTCGTTTTGTCTTTAAGAATTTCAGGGTTTTTTTGTTTTTTGTTTTTGTACCAGGGATCCAACTTGGGAATTCACGCTTGCCAGGCAGGCAGTGGAACCACTGAGCTAAATCCCTGGCCATGAATTTCAGTTTTTAAAGAATGAAATGTGTGGGTTTTTTTTTTTCTTTGAGGATTACACAAACAGGTTTTTGATGTATGGAATTGACTTTTAGATTTATTTTATATTTTTATGTACCAGCAAGCTATGCTCTTTGGAAAGGAGTCTTACTGTTTTGTTTGTACTATTTTTCAGTATTGGGGATTGAGCCCAGAGTCTCTACATTGAATTACATCCTTAGACCTTTTTAATTTTTAATTTTGAGACAGGACCTTGCTAAATTATCCAGGTGGGGCTCAAACTTGCCATCCTCCTGCCTCAGCCTCTGAGCACGCTGGGATTATAGGCGTGGACCATTATGCTCAGTTTTTTTTGTTGTTGTTGTTTTTTAAGTAATCGTAATTTCCCTTGCGTTTTCCAAACACGACATACACAATTTATTTCATGCAACAACTAATACGTTGGAGGATCTAGGGAAGCTCAGGGCTTTCATGAACTATACTTTGCTTCAGCTGTCAAGATCAACATATTTAAACTTTGTTTGGACAACCACAGTGACCTGATAGCCAACAGTAAACCCCTGACCTTTGGGTCTCCCAGGACATCTCCCTGTTCCAACAGCAGTTCTCCTGTCTCCCAGACGACTGGGCTATGAAAGGCTGAGGTCACTAGTTTCTTTTGGAGTATATGTTTTATAATTCTTTGCCCATTCGTGAAACCTTGAACCCTTTTGATCGTTATCATCTTAATGTTCACTGCATCATGGAGATTATTGATTGTGGGCAACTACCGATTACTACCCTAGGGCAGTCTGATTTCTAGGCTTGCGTTTGGAAAATAAAAATCAACTTCTGCTTCATTCGAGGTCTAGAGTGGGTTTGAGGTAAGTGATGCTTACAAGCTCCTAGGCGACATTTTTGGTGTCGGTCGGAAGCCACACTGGGTGGCAAGGGACCGGGAGGACTAACTGCACAGGTGGGAGACTGAAGGAGGTCCCACAGGGAGGTCCCGGAGAAGGGAGAAGGGGAAGAGTCTGGACGGTAGGGGAGAAGCAGCCGGGAAGCGGGTGATGGTGGGGAGGAGGAGATGCGGGGAGCACGGGGGAGGCTGCGGGTCTGGAGCGAGGATGCGCAGAGCGAGTGGTGGCGGGCGTCTCCGCGGCTGCGCGG